TATTATAGCAACCGACTCTATTGTCAACCCATGATGGAGAAGACACCTTATGAGATATTGAATGGAAGAAAGCCCAACATAGCATACTTTTGAGTTTTTGGTTGTAAATGCTACATATTGAAGAAATGCACTAGATTGAGCAAGTTTAAAAAGAAATGTGATGAAGGTTTCTTGCTTGGTTACTCTACTACTAGCAAGGCATATAGAGTTTGGAATTTGGCTAGTGGTACTCTTGATGAGGTTCATGATGTAGAATTTGATAAAACAAATAGTTCCCAAGAGGAAGATGAGAATCTAGATGATGTGAGAGGCACTCAATTAGTCAATGCAATGAAGAATATGGACATTGGTGATATAAGACCTAGAGAGGTGATTGATGTTGAAGATGACAAGAATCAAGTGCTCTCTAACTCAAATGAACAAGCTAGTGGTTCTGAAGATCAAAGTCAAGCAAGTGCTAGTGTTGACAAAGTGCAAGATCAACTATAGGTGGCTAGTTCATCATCTCAATCAAATGCAAGCAATCAAGTGCAAGTGCTCCAACCAACAAATGTCGCAAGAGATCATCCTTTGGACTCTATAATTGGTGATATTATTTCTATAGGTGTACAAACAAGATCTAAATTGGCATCATTTTATGAATATTTCTCATTTGTATCATCCATTGAACCTAAGAAGATAGATGAAGCTTTGAAGGATGTTGATTGGGTCAATGCTATGCATGAAGAGCTAAACAACTTTAAGAGAAATCAAGTATGAGAGTTAGTTGAGAGGCCTATGGATCATAATGTAATTGGAACCAAGTGGGTCTTTTGGAACAAGCAAGATCAAGATGGGATAGTAATAAGGAACAAAGCAAGATTAGTGGCTCAAGGTTACACTCAAGTTGAAGGTTTTGACTTAGGAGAAACATATGCTCCGGTTGCTAGATTGGAAGCAATTAGAACCTTGCTAGCATATGCTTGTGCCCACAACATCAAACTCTATCAAATGGATGTCAAGAGTGCATTTCTCAATGGTTACATCAATGAAGAAGTATATGTTGAACAACATCCCGGTTTTGAAGATGAAAAAAAACCCAACCATGTTTACAAGTTGAGAAAGGCTTTGTATGGATTGAAACAAGCACCAAGAGCATGGTATGAGAGATTGATGGATTTCCTACTCTCTAAGGGATTCAAGATGGGAAAGATTGACACCACTCTCTTCATCAAGAAGCTTGAAAATGACTTGTTTGTATTGTAAATCTATGTTGATGATATCATATTTGGGTCAACAAATCAAGATTTTTGTGAGGAGTTTGGCAAGATGATGGCAAGTGAGTTTGAGATGTCCATGATTGGAGAGTTAAGTTACTTCCTTGGTCTTCAAATCATGCAATTGAAGAATGGTACATTTGTGAGTCAAGGCAAGTACATCAAAGATATGCTCAAGAAGTTTGGAATGGATGATGCTAAAGCTATTAGTACACTAATGAGGACAAATAGAAGCTTGGATAATGATGCTAGTGGCAACATGGTAGATTAAAAGATGTATCGGTCTATGATTGGAAGCCTACTCTATGTGACTGCATCAAGGCCGGATGTTATGTTTAGTGTATGCATGTGTGCAAGATTTTAAGCCTCACCAAGAGAAAGTCATTTGAAGGCAACAAAAAAATATTGAGGTACTTAAAGCATACACAAAATGTTGGTTTGTAGTATCCCAAAGGAGCAAAGTTTGAGCTAGTTGGTTACTCCGACTCGGATTATGCGGGATGCAAGGTTGAAAGGAAGAGCACCTCAAGCACATGTCAATTGTTGGGAAGATCACTTGTTTCATGGTCATCAAAGAAACAAAATAGTGTTGCATTATCAACCGCCGAAGCCGAATACATATTCGTCGGTAGTTGTTGTGCACAAATACTTTGGATGAAGACCACTTTGAGTGACTTTGGAATCAAGTTCAAGAAAGTACCATTGCTATGTGATAATGAGAGTGCAATCAAGTTAACCAATAATTCGGTTCAACATGTAAAAACAAAGCACATTGATGTCCGCCATCATTTCATAAGAGATCACCAATAAAAAGGGAACATTTGTATTGAGAGTGTAGGCACCGAATATCAACTTACCGATATATTCATCAAGCCATTAGATGAGAAAATGTTTTGTAAGCTAAGGAATGAGTTGAACATATTTGATTTCTCAAATATGTGTTGATGCACCCCCCATTATATGACATGCCTCTTCTTCGAGCAAAGCAAGGTAAAGTTAATTGACATGTCATTCATCCATTGCTAAGAATTTGTTTAGTGCATCTAGTCATTCCTATCATTTCCTAGGCGCATTCATGAAAATTAAATGAATTTGATGCTTGTATGGTACCACTATTGCTTGTATGCTTGAAATGATCTAGTGGTAGCAGATGACATGTTTGTGGGCTTGTAAACCTAGCGCTTAATCTAGAAAATGAGCTATAAGTATTTAACTCAACATGGTATAAGATAACCCTTATTTGGAGGTGTGAAGAAGCTTGCCCTTGGATCAAACCGAGTTAAATATATTTTGCAAGTGATCTATATTGAACCAAATTAGGAAAATGATCAATCTTTTGCGTATTCGAGAAAAAAAATACCGTATCAAAATAATTCCTTTGAATTCTTAAAAAATATGTTTTGATTGGGCATTTGTAACTTATAGATATTAATATATTTTTTTCTAAAAATTTGGTTAAAGTTAAAAGAAATTTGACTTAGTATGAAACAATTATAATTTACAATGAAAGAGAGTAACAGTAAGCCAGTATTATAGCAGACAAAAGTATTCCAGATATTTCCGTCAAAAAAAAGTATTCCAGAGAGGCACAGACGCGAACTGAGACGTACAGTGTTTTCACCCCAATTATCAACTTTTGGGGGTTTTCATTAGGAAAATATCTGCAGGCCTAGCTAGCAACAGTGCTGCAGCTAGGATTAGACAGTTCCTCATGGACCACACGGAAATTGAGCCCTTGTTTAGTTCCATTTCAATTTCTAAAAAGTTGCTACAGTATCTGTCACATCAAATGTTTGCGGTCCATGTATGAAGCATTAAATGTAGACGAAAAGAAAAACTAATTACACAGTTTAGTGGGAAATTGCGAGACGAACGTTTTGAGCCTAATTAGTCCATGTTTGAACACTATTTGCCAAATAAAAACGAACGTGCTGCAGTAGCCCCAAAATCCAAATTTCTCCAACTAAACAAGGGCTGAATTACCACTACTTCAACCCACCCATTTTACATGTGTGATTCTCTTGAAGCTGGAACTTTTTATTTACTGCTTAACTGAACTCCAACACTACTTTTACTAAAAAAATGAACTCTTAACACCTATAGGCAGCGCACCTATAAAACGGATTGTGGTCTGTGGAACCCAGTTTTGTCAGATAAATGAAGCCCCTTGATTGTTTCATATATATTTAGATCAGTGTAGCTGAGTAGCCAAAAACTCCAAGCGTCCATCCAATTCCCTCTCCAATAACCCAAAGTCCCAAACAAACAAACAAACAGGCATCCATCTTTTTATATGTTCGTATACGCATCTAAACTCCCTTTCCATGCAGCAAAAAGATCTTTTATCAATTGTGTTGATATGCATGATCAATTAATTGCTCATCTCCATACCCTCTTCCTGTACTCTTAACTGCTGCATGGACAGGGAACAATGCAAACCCAGCAGCACTACACTACCAACTCCAGCTTTCCCCCTTCCTTCTCATATGACCCCCCAAAGAAAGCTGCTAAAACCTAAAGCAAGTGTGGAAAGCTGCATCCCCCCCCCCCCCCCCTCCTCTCTCTCTCTCTCTCTCTCTCTCGGTGCTGATGTCTCTGTAGCAGCTTCACAAAAGCCAACACCAAGACCCCTTTCTTCTTCCTACCACCACCCCCTCGTTAGGTAGTGTTTGGATGCATGGACCAGCAGGGATGGGATGGGATGGGATGGCTCCAGGACCGGGGCTGTTTGGTTGGGAGTCCAACGGGGGCAGGGACGTCCCAGGTCGGAATATTCCGTGTAGATACGGGGCGACCCTGTCCTCAAAAATTTTACGGACGGGGTCGCCCCAGGTGGGACGAGCTCGCGACGAAGAAGAGGAGGCAGACAATGGGCGTAGGAGAGGAAGGAGAGGAGACGCACCGGGCGTGGCTGCATGGGAGAGCTGCGCCATCGCCGCCGCGCGTGCGAGCTGCGCGCGCTGCCGCCGCAACGACGAGCTCCGACCTCGCCGCTAGGTGGACGAGTTGCGACTCGCCAAGGGCTGTGGCGAGCCTCGGCCACGACGCCGAAAGCAGACGAGTGCTGCTCACCCAGCCAGCTGCGTCCGGGATCTCAAGGCGGGGAGCTGCCTCGCTGCTGCTGGAGGAAGCCTAGGGCAACGCGTCGGCCCACTCAAATGCGGCGGCGTCGGGAGGAAGAGATAAGGAGAGAGAGAGGAAGGGATAAGGAGAAGAGAAGGGAAAAGATAAAAAAAAGAAAAAAAACTTACAAATGGGTCCCACTTGTCGGTAGCTCATCCCACTTTTTATGTCTCTGAACCAAACACAAAATAGGTCGATCTCGTCCCTCGTTAACCAAACAGAAAATGGAGCCATCCCGTTCTCTAAATCAGAGACAGAACCGTCCCACTCCACCTGACTCCCAACCAAACCCTACCTTAATTCCTTGTCCCAGCACAACCTGAGTTATAATTATTATACTACAAAGTACTCATCAGTAGTATTCACCTCTCTCTTTCTCTCTCGTTTATTGTTTGTTTGTTCCCCCATCTGGTTGTTGATTGATCTCTTCTTCTCCCCTCTGCCGCTCGGCGGCTATATATACGTCCAATCTAATCCCCATCCCATTCCGTCTCCATCGCCTGATCAAACCAGAGGTAGTAGGGGGAAAAGGAGCAAGTTTTCTGGCTCTTCTTCTTGTTCCGTAGTCCGTACTATTCTTAGCGCTAGCTGTTCTTCACCAAGATCGCCTCGCCGTCACCCATGTTGGGCTTCTGCTCCCCTGCGGCCGGTTCACCTCCCGACGAGGCGACGCCGGAGCCGTTCCGTTCGCTGCAGATCGCCACCTGCACGGCCGCCGCCGCCGCCACGACAAAGAAGAAGCGCCGGCCCGCCGGCACACCAGGTAAGCTAGCAAATCGATCCCGAGACAGCCGTGGTCCAGTTGGCTACATGCATAGTAGCTATCTAGTAAGCTCGGTGCAGACTCCGAGATCGATCCACCCATCCTGCAACATGTAGTAACGCGGTACGGCAATGGCTGCAGACCCGGACGCGGAGGTGGTGTCGCTGTCGCCGCGGACGCTGCTGGAGTCGGACCGGTACGTGTGCGAGATCTGCAAGCAGGGGTTCCAGCGCGACCAGAACCTGCAGATGCACCGGCGGCGGCACAAGGTGCCGTGGAAGCTGCTGAAGCGGGAGGCCGGGGAGGCGGCGCGGAAGCGGGTGTTCGTGTGCCCGGAGCCCAGCTGCCTGCACCACGACCCCTCCCACGCGCTGGGTGACCTCGTCGGCATCAAGAAGCACTTCCGCCGCAAGCACAGCGGCCAGCGCCAGTGGGCCTGCGCCCGCTGCTCCAAGGCCTACGCCGTCCACTCCGACTACAAGGCCCACCTCAAGACCTGCGGCACCCGCGGCCACTCCTGCGACTGCGGCCGCGTCTTCTCCCGGTAAACGAACCAACTTCGATTCTCATGTCATTGATCGATCGATTTGGCTCAGCATCTCCATACTGCTCGTCTGCTCAGCTCTAATAAAGATTATTAGAAAATCCATTAAAAATCAGCATACAGTAAGTTTTTTCTTCTCCCTTACGTTTTTCTTTCGTCTGTTAGTTGGTTCACCACCGGCTGCACGGCCGCCGGGGGCCGGGGCTATGGGCGGTTACATCACACTGTACAGTGCCGGCGGCGGCGGCGGCGGCGGCGCCGGCTCCGCTCTCCTTTTGGGATGTCTGCTATTATTGCGGCATTAACGGTGAAAGGAAAGGGAGGCCGGGCGGGCGGGTGGATCAGAGCACAACTCCCGAGGGCAGCGCGCCCGGCCCTCCTCTATGTGCGTGCGTGCGTGTGCCGTGTCCCGTGTGCGTCGTGCGCATCGATCTCGGTGGTGGGCTTTCTCTTGCTACTAGTATTTTCCTATTGCTTCCACGGTCCGGCATGTGTTCCCGATAGGCGCTAGCCGCCGCTGGAGGTTTCGGCTTTGTGCCCGCGCTGCAGCGGCGAAGGCAAAGGCAGCGTCGTCTTGGCGCGCCATTCGATGGCCGCACGGCGCAGGCGCAGCAGCCCCGGCCGCCAGGGCCCAAAACTCCAAGCCTGACAAGCTGACTCCGAGGCCAGCCAGCCGGCCTCTTTGGATCCTCTAGCCGTGTGTGCTACCAGCAGCGACGTTAATTCATCGTCGTCTCACTTTCACACATGCAATAAAGTCTCTCTCTCTGCTTATTACGCTCTTGGCTTTTGTTCTTGAGTCGAGTTCACTTGGCCATGCACGCATTCATCCTTGGTCTCTTTGCACTCATGTACTATTACTAGTAGCCAAAATATTCCCTTTATTTGTTTCCAGATGATATGGAAGCGTTTGCTTATTGGCAGGCCGGGAGCGCTGTACTGTACGTCCTAGCTGAGATGATTATTAGTGCCTCTGGCTCATCTGATGATGTTGCCATCCAATGTGCAGGGTGGAGAGCTTCATAGAGCACCAGGACACCTGCAACGCCGGGCGGGCATGGGCGGACGCCTCGCCGGCGTGTGGCGCCGGTGTGGCCGCTGCTAGTGCCAGGTCGCAGCAGCTGCAGGCGCCGCCAGCCATGTCACTGTCGAGGACGGCGTCGAGCACCAGCCCGTCCAGTGACATTGCCATCAGCCCGGTGGCCTGGCCCGGTCCGGCACCGGCGATTCCAAGCCCTACGACCGCCGCGTTCCACCGGTTCGAACAAGTCCCGTCGCCGCGGACGCCGCCATCGGACCACCACCGCGGCGGACACCACAACCTCGAGCTCCAGCTCATGCCGCCGTCCTGCAGTGCCGCGGGCGGTGGCGCGCCGGTGTACTGCGGCGGCGCGCCACGCACTCCGGCCGTTCCTCCACAGAGCCGCGACGACGCCGTCATGCAGCTGCAGCTGTCCATCGGCGTCTGCGGCGGCGGCGGGTTCGCGGACGCGGACGAGCGTGGCGACGAGGTGATGATGCTGGCCACAGCAGCGAGGGAGAAGGAGGAGGAGGCACGGGAGCAGCTGCGGCAAGCGGTGGCGGAGAAGGCGTCCGCGGACGAGGCCCGCGCGCAGGCGAAGCGGCACGTGGAGCTGGCCGAGCAGGAGCTGGCGAGCGCCAAGCGGATGCGGCGGCAGGCGCAGGTGGAGCTGAGCCGCGCCCACGCGCTCCGGGAGCACGCCCTGCGCCAGGTGAACGCGACGCTCCTCCAGATCACCTGCCTCGGCTGCCGCCACAAGTTCCGCGTGCGGGCTCCGCAGCTGATGGACGCCGTCGTGGCCCCCGAGGTGGCCTGCAGCTACATGTCCTCCGTCGTGACAGCAGAGGGCGGCGACGCCGAGGTCGTCGACAACGAGCCGCCCCTCGACGGCGCGGACGCCATGCTGCGGCGGCGCCAACACGCCATGGCCATGGACATCGTCCTCTAGCTAATAGCCTGAAATCAGATGATGATCTTCGTTTCAATACCTTCTTGTTTTTGCCAACGAGACGCCGGGATTGCATTGGCGCGTGCATCATTAGGAGGTGTGATGTAATCAGACGCTGATGCCTGATGGACAGTGGAAGATCGCTAGCTCGATCGATCCAGTGCTGCCTAGTGTTCGAGTCCTGTGATGAGCAGAAAGGATCGGACTATCGGAGAGGTAGCCTAGGCAAAAATCCAAGGAGAGACGAAGACGAGGGCGCTGCTAGCTTACTGTGACGCGCATGGAATCTTTCGGTGTTTGCTTCCCATTGGATCTTGTTGGAAAAACATTACTATTGCTCATGGAAACCAACAAGTTGCTGATGCCCTTTGTAAAGGTCAGGCATTCTAGCCAGCAAGGATAAGGGTCGATTGCATGCATGCATGTATTTGTCACAACTAAATTCAACGACGACTGCAATATATCACCTGTTTCTCTCGAGTAAGAATCTTTTTGATAGACTGATGTTTCTCGGCCGTTTTCAGTAGGGGCCATGGCCGATTTGAGCAGGCGCGCGGTTGGTTGGATCGAGGGGCGGAGGGCGCCAAATGGAAGCGGCCAGAAATGGTGTTGGAAGTGGGAAACCAGGTGGAAGAATCTGGGTGGGGGACAATGAACTGCTGGACGCTGAAAATACGAGGGGAAATACAACGCGCACTAGAGATAAAACTTCAAAACTCCCAGGACACACTGTTGCGGCGCAGCAATGGCACTAGTAGTCCAAAACAACACGCACAATCACGCGTGCATCCACGCACACAGTAGTGTCTCTCTCTCTCTGCATCGACGTCGCCAGCTGAAATGATGAAACGCTTCCGGAGGAGGAGGTAGGAGACCAGCTAGGGAATAGTGATGGGCATGGAAACAGATGCGGACGCGCGCATGGTTTTCAGTGCCAGGATGGCTTTCTTTCTCGGTCTAGCTGAGCCCCTGAGCCGAGCTGATCCCTCCCAGCCTTCTGCCTCCCCTTGTCTGTCTTGGCTAGAGATACCCTACCCCTGTCTGATCTGTACCGTCTCGTAGCACTGAAAGATATGCAGAAAGCTCTCACAGACTCACAGCACCGTCTGCCATTGTCTGCACGTTTGCTTGCTGCTGGCTGCTGCATGCGTGCATGTGTGTGCGTGAGCGTGGGGGAGGAAAGGTGATCTGTACGAAGAGCCCAAACGAGGCAGCAGCTCCTCAGTCGTGGCCTCTCGCTAGCTAGCTTGTGCTGCTTGCTTGCAATTTGCAAATGCAGATGCGCGCTAATCAAGCAAAGCGCTTTTAGTGACTGAGCTGGAAGAACATTCGTCCGTGCGCTCCCACGTGAAGGCGGATCCGCAAATGCGTTGCATGTGATATGCGCTGGGTCTGCACAGAGAAGAATATAGATGTACGTGCCTCCTGTGTCATGTAGTGTTGTTTAATGTGTCAACGGTCTCTACTCTCTACTACGCACTACTGGTGTGTTGTAAAGTTCCTATAAAAGATGCATATGTTACTACATGAATGATTTTTAATTAGAGACGTATTATTTTTCTTATAAGTGGTTGTATTTCAGCCGATCCTAGAAATGCCATTTAAGAACAGCTAACAAACGGTCGGTAATGCCATTTTTAAGGGCAGTTCTTAATACGAGCCGCTTCTGAAAATTAAAACATTTTTAAAGACGGACCATCTAACAACATGAATTTTAGGAGAGGCCTATAATATGGACCGTCTTTAGAAATACGGGTCCCGTGAGGCTTGAGGTCACAGGTTTGAATCCTTGAGAACACGTACATGAGTGCATTTCGCGAGAAAAATCAAGTCTTACGACTTTGCGGCTGGTGGGTTAGCCACATAGGGCTGAGAAACTTCTTTTTTGCGTGTCTTTTAGCATCATTTTCTTTTTTCCCGACAGGTGGTATAGTTGCACAGCCAGCCCTACAAATAACAACCATTTATTTGTTCTGGCCGGTGCTACTTGCTCCGCCTCTATGTTGTTTTACTGTCTCCCCGGCTATAGATTGGTGCCCGAGCTAACCACCGGCGACGTGCCTGAAGACCTTGATGGCGTTGTCGTCATCCCGCGAAGGTTAGATCAGCATCCTAGCATGATTGGTCGTCTTTACCTTTCCATTTACTTCAATTTTCATTTAGTGCTTAGGTCGAGCCGTGCATGGTCACATCTCCCGTGTTAACCCTCTAGTTGAGATTCAACAATTTTTAATCACTGAGATGGAATCAGTATGTACTATTATTCATTGTAGTGCTTATTTCTCCCTACGTAGCTTTTGATTTGTGGCAGCTTTGGATTAGGTTAATAGGCGTTCCTATTTTCATTAATTTAGATTTGTTCATAATTTCATATTAGGTAATTGTTCAAATTGAACATGTTCTTTATATACACAACTGTCTTACTATGAAAGGAGCGTTTACCGTGCGACCTTGTCATTTGGCAGCTAAGGGTGGTAGGACCCCAGCACTTGGTGTTTGTGATGTGGGGCCGCCGTGTTCACCAAGAGCGAGGGTTAATTGCTTTAGTGGTTATTCATGCTCTTCTTAGTCAAGAAAGTTAGCAAAATTGTTGAAAACCATTTTTCTTGAGATGTCTTTGTACTTTGCAGCTTTGCACAAACAAGCATTTAGACTGTCTAGCGAAAGTGTCGAAGTGGATGGAGATTATGTAATTTTCAGTCTAGTTCACATTCTCAGGATGTTTAGCCTACATCATGCCATTTAGTACCTGAGTAATGTCAGCTGCATCATTCTACGTTTCTACTAAGTACTACATATAGTGCTTATTTTATATGTAGTGTCCTTATGTTGTGTGTATCCATTTGTATGGACAAGTTAATCATTCTTGAATTTCAGTCATGCTTCAACTCGATCTTTTTGAAATAGAGAGCAAAAGCGAGCAAGCCAAATCCTTGAGCACTTGTGGGCTTCGTCAATCATTCATGAGGCATTTGTTACTCTAGACGGCTAGGAGTCACCAGCAAGCAACCAAGGTTGTGGTCAGCCACGACAAGTTTGTGAAGGCCCAATCTTGCCTTCGCAAGGGAAGAGATCAAGCTTAATGGATTATTGAGGAAAGTGATTGGAAGAGACCTGGCTATGGTGCACCTTGGAGTGGTCACTCATGGCTTCCTTAACGGAGACATACGATTCACATGGAGGCCCAAACTTCGGTGAAACAAATCTTGTCTCATATGTGTTTATCTTGATCTACTTGGTTGTTCGTGTTTGTGAGTGCAGGTGTTTTGTGGACATTCTATTGGACATCCCCAAACTCATATCTCCAAGTTTGGTTTGAGCTAGAACTCATTAGGCGTACATTCATTTCGTTTCATACTAACAATGTCGAAAGTTCTAACACTAACATCCGATGTGCATTAGAACTTCCAATGGTTATTTAATCTGCTATGAAGTTTTGTTTTGTATTAAATTTTAGAAACTCCTATTCAACTCTCCCTCTAGGCGACATCAAGGTCTTTTCGATCCTAGCCATGGGAAGGCTCTCTTGGCACCTTAGGGAAACTTTCTTGATACATTAGAACCTTCTTCTACCTTAGTCTCACATACATTGCTTGGGATTGCATCTCTAGTGAGATTGAAAGCATTCTATAATTCATTGCATCAAATGTTTGATCATTTTGGCACTAGGGAGGCTTCAATCAAGCATCATTGGCTTATTACTCTTAGAGGTTGTCTCCTCCTAAACAGCTTAGAGATCATGGTTCCATTGAAGCACTTCAAGGAAGATTGTAAAGGTGCTTCAGAAGTGATTGTGAGGGATTCTTGTGCTCTGACCCCGCCGAAGTGCTAAAGAGCAACTATAGTGGAATCGAGATATGGAGTGATTATTTGATTTTAGCCAGCTTTGATAGAGGAGCGGTGAACGCTGAATCCACCTCAATGTGGATTAGGGGTGAACGCAAGTCATCAATACCTCAATGTTGGATAAATTCATGCTCAATTTACCTTCTTATTACAAGTTAGTTTGAGTGATCTACTTTCTTAGAAATGTTTGATTACTTGACACCCTAGGTTGCAAATCCTCACCTAGATAGAAAGAGTAGTATTTTTAGGACTCAATTATGGTTCTAACAAATACCTAGTGTTTGTGTTTTTAGTTGAAATTGCATATTTCAACCCCCCCTCTAGTCAGTATCCTTGATCCTATAGTAGTGATAGGTAGTAATTGTCACGTGCCACTTTTGGCTTATCATTAGTGATGTATCTTGGGTGGTTCAACGACCATCACTATTTATTTATTTTTCATGTAGTGATATACTTCATAGAGTAAACTGAATACCTTTTTACTAACACATTCTCCTTATGCTGAATAATTATTAACTTAAGCCCAAGTTATCACAATGGAGGTGAAGAACTAGGATCTTGTGTGGAAGTAGGTTTACTGGGCTTTGGTGATTACTACATGCTTTTTGCCTGCCATGGTAGGAGGTTTAGCAATATATGCTAAGGGCAGTGGATTGCTATGTTTAGCTTTTGTTCCTATAGAACTCCAGTCTTGTTTTTACTATATGTGCATCTCTTGTAAAATGGAACGACTAAAACATTGCTTGATGTGGAGCTAATATGATGTTACTTTTCCATTAAACCATTACTGAGGAGTGAGGAGTCATTTCAAGTCAAACATCATAGGGAAAATTGAGTTGTCATTAATTTTCTTCTTCCTAGGATGTTCTAGTTGCTATTCTTAGGTTGTGTTCGGTGTTTGGTGCATCATAGGGACGAAGGGGGATATTCCACTTTATCCTAGTGTTTGGTTGTGGAACAGGTGGGGCAGAGTCAACCTTACAGGAGCAATACCTCTAGATTCTAGGGCACACTCATCCTTTAGAAATGAGTTAGAGTTCGTCCCCGTAAACGGTGTCATCGTCCGTTCGCTTGCCCGATCACAGGTCACGTCGCTCCTTCGACTTGCTAGCACCATCGAGCGCCATCCGTGCCTCTTCACACCACCGCCTTCT